ATAAATAAAGGGAGACTAGTATAGATCTATTTCAAGCTATTTAGCTCTCATCAGCTAGCCATATCCTTACTGGGATTCGAACCTGTGCTGTATTATAACACATCTGCCTAAAATACAACACACACACACACACGTGTGTGTGTGTGTCTGTGTGTATATATATGTGTGTGTGTGTGTGTGTGTATGTATGTATATGTATATGTGTATGTATGTATGTATGTATGTATGTATGTATGTATATAAGCTTTTTCTCCAGTTCAAATCAATGGATGAAACAATGCTTCATCTATCCTGGCAAAGCTGAGCATTCCTTCACCATACACTATTGTGTATACATTTGGAGTGTGTAACAAGATGGGAAGGTGCTTCTCCATATGTGTCAGTCAGTGCTGGCCGGCATTTTAAAAACGATTTGAGTTTTATATCTGGGTCAGTCAGAGCACCTGTCACTAAAGAGGGGGTATCTTAGCTATGAATCTAAGAACCTGAATTTAGCCGTTCAGATTAGCCTATTTAGTTTCTCTCTCCAAATTTGGGTTAAAGTGACATGCTATTTCAATGACTAATTCATGTGACAGGCCCTTCCGACTGCTGGCTAGGGAAAGCCCTGGCAAAAGTTTACAAATAAGAACCTTGTCTTAACATGGTTGGTTGCTCTCAACGTTTGCCATGGAGAGGATCCAATTTTGCATTGCCTGAGCTATTTGACGTAATGTGTGCCATTCCTATCTCGTGCCAACCTCTTCCACCTCATTAATTCCCTCGTCCAAATTTCTGCAGCTACTGTTTGCTATTTCTCCATCGTCTATATTGCAAGCAAACATGTAGTCGGAGCTGCCTTTGTCATTCAACAATAAGGCTTACATTTTCTGCGTTAAAAATAGTGACATGAAATAATCTGCTTGGAGAGGGGGTAATGCCATGCTGTCACTGAGCTTCCCTTTCAAGGACGTCTTCTACTGCGGGGGTCTCCAACCTTGGCAACTTTAAGACTTGTGGACTTCACCTTCCAGAGTCCCTCAGCCAGCTTTGCTGGGAGTTGAAGTCCACAGGTCTTAAAGTTGCCAAGGTTGGAGACCCCTGCTCTAGTACAAGAAAGATGGTCAGTGTCTCATTTGTGGATGGTTTCATTTGGATTCCTCCTTCCAAATCTTTGATTTTACGAATGGAATACAAGAACTTAGTTCTGCACAATAATGTAACTTGTTTTGCTTGCCTTTGATGTGTTGTGTAAACTATTGCGGTTTGTCAATTAGGGTAATAAAGTAGCATGTGAGCATTCCAAAAGCGGACCCACTATAATAAGTCATATTATTTGTCTACTAAACCCAGCATTCTCTATTCAGACTGGGAATAACAAACCACTGAGATCTTTTTAACTGGAGATCCAAATAACCTCTATATAGGAGGCACACATTCCATCAAATTACATCCTTCCCCCTTGACAAAGCAACTTGGAATTCCTGCCTTAAGTTCCCACCCAGCAGGGCAATAAATCTCAGATGTGCTGAGTGGCGCAGTGGTTAGAATGCAGTACTGCAGGCTACTTCTGCTGACTGCCTGCAATTTGGCAATTCAAAACTCATCAAGCTCAAGGTTGACTTCCATCCTTCCAAGGTGGGTAAAACGAGGACCCAAATTGTTGGGGGAAATATACGGACTCTGTAAACTGCTTAGAGAGGGCTGTAAAGCAGTTTATATGTGCTATTGCAGGCTAACTCGTCATTCCACTGTTTGATTCTCAACGCTCAAGGTTGACTCAGCCTTCCAAGGGCCCAAATTGTTGGGGGCAATATGCTGACTCTGTAAACTGCTTAGAGAGGCCTGTAAAACACTGTGAAGCAGTACATAAGTCTAAGTGCTATTGCTAAATACTATAGCATAAATGTGACTACTAGTGATTGACTATTTCCAGGCAAGGTTTCTATTGCACCATTATTCTGTATACACACACACACACACACATTAGATTTATGGATTTCCTGATTGAGATTCCCTTTATTTCTAGATTTATAAGTGCCAAAGGAGATGATCTATATGTCCTTGTGTTTATTGTTGTAATTAAAAAAAACCACCAGCAATGTCAGCTGAAGGAATGGATATCTAGGATAGGATAACTAAGATTAGAAGGAAGGAGGTGTTTAACACCTTTCTATTGTGCTCAGGAGGAAAATTCCATTTTTTCTGAAAATGACATGTGCTTTGTGGGGACAGGGCCATAATGAAGGAAAAAACATATTTGCTTTCCTTGCCTTTGGTAATTATTGGCTTCTTTTCTTTTATCAGCTGCTGCTATTGAGCGGTGTGGTTTTCTAAAAGAAAGAAGCTGAATCATGGCCAAAACTTCTCCTTTACCTGGAAGTCCATTTTATTTGCGTCATATATTTATATTATACCATGGTGATCATTCTGATTGCGTGCCTGTTTTAGCCCACGGAAGAGATGGCGTTTTTATTGTAGCAAACAAGAACAAAGCAGAAGCCCATTTTAAAAAAAATAATAATAACAACAACCCAGGAAGAACAAAATGTTTTTAACATCAATATACACTACTTTAGTGTCTTAAGTCAGTGGTTCCCAAACTTGGCAACTTTAAGACTTGTGGACTTCAACTCTCAGAATTCTCCAGCCAGCTCTGCAGAGCTGGCTGGAGAATTCTGAGAGTTGAAGTCCACAAGTCTTAAAGTTGCCAAGTTTGGGAACGACTGTCTTAAGTGATAGCAATCAATAAAGTAAACGTAACTTTTAAAGTCTATACAATCATATTATAGAAATTGTGCACATAGAATGCAAATCAAAATTTACAGCAGACAAAAACAGAGCAACACCAGGGCGCTCTCTGCAGAATCTTTCACAAGTTCCAAGGAACAGTTATGAACAGGCGGATGTACAGAGGCAGCGTCGGAATGATTGACACCAAAGTGGGTTTTGGTGCTACAGGCTTAGATGTGCAGTCGTGTAAGTCCTTCGTTCACATTGTGACCAGGGGGAGACAACCTAAACGGCTCAGCGCTATTATTCCCCAGATGCGAAGTAACTCTATGCAGGGGAAGGCGACTATTGCATTTTTATTTAATATTGTTTTCCCTTTTAGTCCAAGGAAATACTCCTGGTGCTTATACTGGAGCCATAGGCAGAACATAGGCAGAAGTCAGAACAACAGTATGAAGTGCATCATGACACCATCCTATAACAATGTTATGTAATTTGCATCTGTCCCCAGGTTGATGCCAATCACATTCATCCGATGAGATCATGACAAAGATTTCCTCATTTGCTCTCTCTCAAGGGTATCTATGACTCAGAAGGCCTCCTGCTTTCTCACACCTTGTGCGTGCAAACATATTAATAGGGACTGGAAACTCAGTATCCACCAGTAATATAACACAACATAGGTAGGTAGCTTAAATCAGGGGTGTTGTCAAGATTCGTTGGGTTTTTCCACCCCAAAGGCTAGAAGCTTCTAAGATCATCAAATCTCATGAGGCTGCAGTTTTCTTACTCGGCAAGAAACGGTGATATTTTGGCACTGTCATAAGATCTCACTATTGAGGCAAACAATTTCAGATTTACAAATATAGATTTTTTAACACCAGGACGTCTGCTCTCTTTTCCACCCAATATTCTCAGGTTGATAATAAAACACCAGAGATTCTCAATCAGATCAGCCCCCTGCATCTAAAGGGCAGAAAGTTGGAGAAGGCTCCCCAGAGGAATTGAGACTTTTGTGCCATAAAATTAACCTTGCTTTTACTTCAATTACTGTAGTCTTGCTGAGAAACACAAGGATTTGTTGTTCTCTTTCACAGCTGGATTTTAAAATGTGAAAGGATAGAATCTTTTGAAAATGTATTACTAGCCTCTCTGAAACTTTCAGTTCCCTCCAGTTTTTACACTTTGGGTAAAAGTTGGGCACAATCCTCAACAGACTTTTAGACTATGTTCTTTCAATAGCCAGAACCTAGAAAACTAAGTGGGTTGGTTTTTTTTGCTCATCTTCTTCTCAACCGTGAAACAAACCAAAATAATCTCATCACCAAAATTAATTGCATTGAAGCTGTGCATTCATACTTAGAAAAGGAATTTAACAGTAGCCAATGTGGAATGAAAATATATATATATTAAAGGAGAGGTTTTAGCACTGGATCCTTTAAAGAAAAAAAAAACCAGGTTAAATATGTAGATATTTAACCAAGTGTATAACCCCGCCCCCCCTCCCTCCCTCTCCTTCTCCCTCTGCTTTTCCAAAAAGGGGACATCAGTACCCGTAGTGCACAGTTCTCTCTCTGCCTCTGGACTCCACAATCCTGAGGCTTATCGGTCCTGAGACCAAAATGCTGCTTTTTAGAGTTGAACCATTCTAACCCCCATCTGACAGTGATGGTGAACTAGCCACAAACCCACCTCTCAATTCTCCACCTTTCCTACAGTAGTCTTTGAGTTTCCTTTTACACAGGATGGAACAGCGAAGGGGATAAAATGCTACTTTTCTTGTCCTTTGGTTTCCCCAGCTGGAGTGCTGTGTGCAGTCTGCTTCCCTCTGCCCCATTCCTTCATCTCTCTAAAACATCTCAAGGGCATCGGGAGAATCAGGGGATGCCACAATGGCAGTCAGCCACAAAAATATCCGCATCTTGCCCCTGCAGAAGAAGTCCACGAGGAAGGACCGAAGGTGTGAGAATGCTTGGTTTGAGAGAAGCAAGTAATAAAGACATTTCTTAAGAGGTGACGTCTAGTTAACAGCAGTTAGCTACCCAAGCAGAAAGGGTAGAGGAGATGGAGTGTTGTTGTTTTTTTTAACCTTTCTGCAATCTACATCTTTAGACGTTCGGCAGCTTGGCGCAGAAGCTGCTCATGCCCATCTTCCACTTGAACCAAAACCCCGGCTGAAGGAAAAATTGATCTCGGAGTTTTTGTATTTGCCCCATGCTCCAAATGGCACTACGATTGCGGTGCTGTTATCTTCTGCCCCGTACTGCATAGCCTTGTGGAACAATGAGAAGAAAGGCAAGAAGTTTTAGTTTCACTCTCAAATCACCAATCTTCAAACAATTTCAGGTGCAACGTTGAGAAATCTGACAATCGTGGTCCTTATTCTAATCCCAGCCCCAAGTAAAATATTTAAAGGGTATTTTTAAGGGGGCGGAAATGGGAAGTTGTCATTCTATAGAACAAAAGTGAACGTTGGGATCCTTGGTGCTCTCTGAGCTTGATTGTATTTTTTTTGCAGACATTTCATAAATCTATTAAGTAACATCATAAGAGCACTGATGACGTTACCTAGTTGGGTAATGAAATGTCTGTGGAAACAACCAGCCTCAGAGAGCACCAAGGACTCCGCAGTTCAACCCAGAACTACAAATATTCTCTTCTATTGATAAAGGTGAACTTCTATTATCATGTTAATTTATAAGAATTCCTGGAGATCCAATATTAAGCCGTATCAGGGAGTCTTTTTAGTAACCTCTAAGTAAAATCTAATGGAAGATTTTCCTATTGGGATACCCTCTAGAAAAAGAGGGAAAACTTTTTTTCTGTTTCTAAAACCAAACTCTTCCTTCTGGGTATCTTATGGCAACAGTTATCATCCAGGAGTGAGGAGTCCCCCACAGTCCAAAGGATGAGCATTTTTTCCTGCTCCTTTCTTGCACAATCATGCTGAAGAGCCGTAGGTGCTAGCTGGAAGGATGGTGACATTACCAAAAGAAATAGGGATATTTTTTTTGGCCTTTTTTTTTCAAAATATGGTGGGAGCTCAAGAGTGGAAATTCTGTCCTGCTTAAGCCCTCAATTTTGATGAAAACATCATGGGTTTGGGAAGGAGGGAGGGAGGGAGGGAGGGAGGAAGGAAGGATGGATGGATGCTGGGGAAACTGCACGTATTTTACGATTGCCTTACACCAGGGGTGTCAAACTCAATTTCATTGAGGGCCGCACCAGGATTGTGTTTCACCTCGGGGCGGGGGGGGGGGGGAATGGAGGGGTGTGGCCAGGATAGACGTGGCCAATTCGATGTCACTCATGTCGGAGGCATCTGTAGTGGCCTGAGTGCTCAGCCAGCAAAAACGGGCTCCCGAGCTCCATTTTCGGCTGCGACGGCCTCCTGCAAACTCTGCCAGTGAAAATGTACCTAGAGAGGAGCGCACATAGCCCTCCCAGGCTCTGTTTTTGCTGGCAGAGACACTGTGGGCCGGTCCTTCTCTGTTTTCAAGGCAGACCCATGGACCAGATCTAAGCACCCTTTGGGCCGGGATCCAGCCCGTGGATGGCCTTGAGTCTGCCACCCCTGCCTTAAGACTGTTCCCCCCCATTATTTCCAACTTCTAAAATCATACCGGAGTGTCAAGCTATCCATGTTGTTTTAGAATTATCACCACCGCTCTTCAAAGACATGAAAGAAAACTGGCTTTTCTGCTGACATCAGCTGTAAAAGTTTACAAGAGGATACCTCATCCTTCAATCGTGGGATTCTTGGTGCTCTGAGCTTGGCTGCTTCTGCAGACATTTCAACACAGGTAGGCCTTGACTCATATGACCAGTTGCACAGCAACAGATCCCACCCAAAGGTAATTATGACCCAGTTCCAAAATTTGGACCGCTCTGCACCCAGGTCACATCACGGGATTGCATTTTGGTTGCCTAGCAATCAGCCTGCGTTTACAGCCGTTTGCAGAGTCGCATGACTGCGATAGGCAGTTCTGCCAAAAGCCAGCATTTACATCCCATTTATCAGCAAAAGTGCCCCCTAATGAACAAGGGGTTTGCTTCACAAGGGCAGCATTCGCTTAACGACTGTGGCATCCGCTCTACGACGCTGCCTTCACTAAAGGATCACCACTAAAAAGGTTGTCAAAGTGGGTCTCTCCAGTGGTGAAATCTAAAATTTTTTACTACCAGTTCTGTGGGTGTGGCTCGGTGGGCGTGGCTTGGTGGGGTCTTGTGACTATTTAGTCATGTAACTGGGGGATCAAAAGACAAAAACTCACTTTAACAATGTGCTGCTAGAGGAGGGTTGGACTGGATGACCTCCAGGTCCCTTCCAGCCCTGGATTATCCTCTGAAGCTGCATCTAATGCCAGATTTGTAGTCCTTCCTTCCTCTCCTTTTTCCCTCCCTCCCTTTCTTTCTTTTTCTTTCTTTCTCCTTTCCTTCTCTCTCTGTCTCTTTCTTTTCCTCTTTCTTTCTCAGCAACCCCATATTCCCAATTTTTGGCCTAGCAGGCTTCAGGAAGCCTGCTGGAGCAAAACTGGACCCCCCACCCCTGTTTTTGACCCCATCCCCACCCTGTTTTTGGCCTAGCAGGCTGAAGGGAAGCCTGCTGGGAGCATAAACGGACACACACAGAGACACAGACACAGACACACACACACACACACACACACACACACACACACACAAACAACCCACGCCCCGTTTTTGGCTGTGCGACATGCGATCGCCAGAACTTTTTTTTAATTACTTTTTTTTAGTATTTTTTACTACCGATTCTGTGAACCGGTAGCATTTTTTACTACCCGAACTGGTAGCATTTCACCCCCTGGGCCACTCGCATGGCTTTATGACCATTACCACTGTAACGGGCAGGCACCGTCCTAGATTAAGGACTATCTAGACCAGGAATGGGATCCTACCAGTTTAACAACTGGTTCGCGCGCACACTCTCGCTTCGCTCACGCGCCTGACACACGCATGTAGAGTTTACAGAGACATCACCTTCCGCATTACTGCTTGCAAAGGAAACAGCTGAGGTGCGGCAATCCACTCTGCTGCGCCTGTCAGCTGGGCTCCAGAAAAGGGACTATAGGTGAGTATAGTGCAGGGATGGGCAGGTGAGCCCAGATGAAAGTCGGAGTGAACCAGTTCGCTCCCAGCTGATAGTCGGAGCTACCAGTTCACCCGAACTGCTCCGAACTGGTAGAATCCCACACCTGACCTAGACCCAACTAGGCAACATCAGTGGGAGCATCAACGGTACACTGATGATGTTACCTGCTTGGGTAATGTAATGTCTGCAAGCAAGCAACCAAGCTCAGAGCGCACCATGAAGTTGACAGTTCCTCCTTGAGCTACTGATATTCTCTTCTATTGGAATCATCCATGGTGTCCCAAAAAATACAGGTACCATTAGCTGAAAGTTGGCCAGTAACAACTGTTCCCAAAGCAGAAATACCTACCTGCTCAGTAATGATGTGAGCTGCTTCGGTTGGATCATGGCACTGGTTAACAAAATCACAGATCTCCTGGCTGTTTACCATAAAGTTGATGCCATCTGTGGTCAGGACCAAGAAGCTGTCGCTTGTATGATGCAACTAAAGCAACACAAAGTGTATATAAATTATCCAGACTTATGATGCTCTAGTACAGAGCCAAAGAGCCAGCGCTGTCGAAAGACGTCTTCGTGGTCATGTGGCTGGCATGACTAAACGCTGAAGGTGTACGGAACACTGTTGCCTTCCCACCAAAGGTGGTCCCTATTTTTTTACCTGCATTTTTACGTGCTTTCGAACTGCTAGGTTGGCAGAAGCTGGGACAAGTAACGGGAGCTCACTCCATTACATGGTGCCCGGGATTCGAACCGCCAAACTGCCGACCTTTCTGATTGACAAGTAATGGACGCTCACTCCTTTACACAGCGCTAGGGATTTGAACCACCGAACTACTGACCTTTCTGATCAAAAGTTTAGCGTCTTGGCCACTGAGCCATCGTGTCCCTGTAAAACTGCTACATAGAGATTAACAATGAAAAAACTTGTTTGGATTCTATTTTTACACAAACTGTCCTAACTTGCTCTTCCTAAACTAAAAATAGGAACACCTATTTAAGTTGGCACACTTCCCAATTCCAAAACAGCACACATCAGATAAGGTTGGATGCAAAACTATATAAATTAGAGCCAACGGTCTCCAACTTTTCTGCTTTGGCCAGAGACAGGGAAGAGATGGGGGGTGATTTCATGCATGCACGCAAGCAGCTTTTACAAATGCAGCATTGCATGCACTCACAAGCTCACCCACCACTTCCACACCCCAGTTCCAAGCGGGCTGCAGCCTGGCGTGGCACAACAAGACCGCGCTCGTCAAAATAGCGGTGATAAAATCGCGTCGCTAAAGCCGCGACGTCATCACTGCGCGTCATCACCG